GCGCAAGAAAAAGGGGTAAATTGACCCCTTTTTGGTAATATTTTTTCCACAGGAGCATTTCCCAGAGAATGCAGAACTATCAGAAAATTATTTTATTTCCAACTGCGAAGACATATTGGTAAGTTTCTGCAATCATACTTTATATGTCTTATTTCAATTTTTATTTCATCTACAAGGACTAATGGCAGTATTGACACCAGAAAGTTGCTGCTCTTGTTGATCAATTGCCCCTTGGGTTGCATGAGAAGTATCTTTTTTGTTTGAGTTAATATATTATCTTCAAACCGTAGGAAGTTGCTTAGAATAATAAGTCTGTCTAGTCCAGTAAGCTTTTCTACCAGCTTGGTAGGCCAAACAATTCAGGTAGCAAATGCCATGAACAACTTGATCACATTTCTCTTATTGTGTAGTATTTGTGATATGCAGTCCAGTTGACATGGATGATGACATAGATTGGAGAAAGGACGTTCAAGTTACAAATACATGTATTTAGGCTTTTAAAATACAAATATCGAAACGCCTATATTGAAATGCACTCTTGTCATATTAAAACAAACCTTTTATTTGAATTTAAACCCCAAATTCAAATACACAGCCTCTTCAAATTTAGATTTCCAAACTTATACACAATAACTAGGCATTGTCACAACCAAAGGACTAAACTAACTACATGGTGTATAAAGTTGCAAGAACTAGGTAATAAGATGGACTACTAAAACTCTTCATCAATGACTCAAAATGTCGAAGAATGCCAAATTCAAAAGGTAGTTAATGTTTGATATGAAATAAAGTGGCCTTTCAAGCTAGTGACGGTTGATGCAGAGAAGGGACACGATCAACAGAAAGAACACTGCATATGCTGGGAAAAAACATGCATAGAAAGCAAGAAGGTCAACTTCATACCATTTCCCTTTAGTTGCCTCTGAAGGTAATAATTCCAAATGTGGTGTCTCAGTATTAATGATGCAGCATTTCTCCAATGGTAGCTTGGAAAGAAATTGGTTTCCTTCATAGCTGCTCTCCTCAAATGTTGAAAACTGTCCTTTCATTGGAATCTCGCCAGATAAGTTGTTGTATGACACATTGAAGACCTCTAAGAAGTTTAGGTTGGTTAACTCTAACGGGATATTTCCACTCAAATTGTTACAACAGAGGTCCAAGCTTTCAATGTTGGATAGTTTTGACAAAGTGACTGGAATAGGACCCATCAATTGATTATGAGATAAGTTTAAAGCCCGAATCTGTGTAAACTTTCCAAGCTCTTGAGGGATTTCTCCAATCAAATTGTTACAAGACATGTCAAGAGCAGACATGAAATTTAATATACTACCCTTGTAAGAGCAGCCCCTATTTTTATCAACTAGATAAATCTCATTCAATCCTGTAGCCTCAGTATCTATGACAAGGTCTAGATTCTTCTTTATGAGATCTCCATATATGTGATTTTCATCAATAAACTTGTTCATAATCTGCATTTGATCTTGTTCAAGAGTTTCATTATATTTCTCCATCACCCCAAAGGTCAAATTTTGGAAACAAGAAGGTATTGTTCCAGACAAAGAGTTGCTAGAAAGGTCCATTATACTTATATTCTTCAATAAACACAATGTCTTTGGGATTGAACCCTTTAAATGATTTTTTCCCAATAGAAGAAGTTTTAGATTTAGAAATGTACCAATCAAGTCAGGAATGAAGCCGGACAAGTTGTTATCTCTAAGATTCAACACAGAAAGACTACTTGAGGAATTGGGAAGAAAATCTTGCAACAGTCCTGTGAACTTGTTCCCTTCTAAATGAATCTCAACTATGGTGGTGAAATCAATGCAAGAAGGCAGATGATCGGAAAGAAGATTATGAGAGACGTCCAGAAAAAGCAACCATTCAGACATAGGTTGTTGGCATGGAAATTGGCCTTCAAAAGAGTTATTCCTCATTGAAATTATCCAAGTCACCTGATATGATGGTAAAAAAAAAGTTATTATTAGTATATTGCACCCATGTATTTCTTTACTAGTTAGATTTTGCCTAATCAAATTCAAAACAATATAATATAAATCTACCATCAAAAGAGTTATTCCTCATTGAAATTAACCAACTCACCTTGTTAGCCCAGGTAGGAATTGGACCCCTCAAGTAGTTGTTGCTAACATCTAATATGTCCAATGTCTCAAGCTTCACATTCAACAAGCTTCCAGTGAACCCATTGTTGTTTAATTCTAGTTGTAACAAAGTGCTCAAGTTGAATTTAGATGAGAAAAATTGGCCATTAAGTCTATTGTAAGACAACCTCAAATGTTGCAAATTGCTACAGCCCACAAGTAATTCGTTAGGGACTTCTCCTGAGAAAAAATTGAAGGCCAAATCCAACTTTGCCAAATCTCTCATATTGCCAAGACTACTTGGGAGAGTACCTTCAAACTGATTTTGAGACAAATTCAGATACTGTAAGCCAAGAAGTTTGTCCCCAAAGTCCTCTAGTAACTTTCCAGTAAAATGATTGTTTGAGAGATCCAACCAAACCATATTTCTAATTTTATATGATGGCAAATAGAGTTGACCAACAAAAGAATTGTTCCTAAGATTCATAAATTTGAGGTTCGAATTGTTTTGCAGCAGCCAAACAGGGAACTCTTCTTTCAACTTGTTGTGAGAAAGATCAATTACTCTCAATTTTTGTTGATAAAAGAGAAACTGTGGAATACTGTTTAGGTTTAAATCAGAAAGTATCAATGCCTTGAATTGAAACAACATATTAATCGAATTTGCATATTGAACATCAACTTGTAGTCTATCTTTGTAGCCTGTGAGCATGAATACCTCAAGCTTGGAGTAATTCCCAATTGAGCTAAAAGAGAATAAGCCTTGGAAATTGTTGTGACAAATATCAATGAATTCAAGGGATAATGGGAGGCTTTGTATCAAATCTGATGCAAGGTTTTTGGAGAAAAAATTGTCTGAAATATCTAAAAGTTTAAGAGATGTTAGATTGTTTAGACATGGAGGAAGTGTCCCTTCAAAATTGTTTTGGCTCAAATCCAACTCTTGAAGCCTCTTTAATCCACACAGACCTGCCATAAAGGACATAAATTGTTTGCTAAGAATTCATAGTGAATTTTGTGTTTCATTAGTTTACTAAAAGATCTCTCAATTAATTTCCAATTATTTGAATGAATGCAATTGCATTCGTCAAAAATTACCAATGAATTTTCAATTTTTGTTTATTTTCCTAATCTCATTCAAATTACTAATGCCCTCTATCTAGAGCAAAAAAGAGGTTCTGATTGGCTTCATTTAACTGACAAAAAGTATAACAATTAGGCATGAGGTCTTCTTCCTCATATTGTTTTTGAAAAACATATCTAAAAATTCACATTTTAATTAATATTTTAAAAATGAATTATTGAATTAAAAATTTTATTTATATAGATTATACATTTTAATTTTTATGTTAATCTAACACTTAATCATTTAATCAAAGTGGTTAAACTTACTAAAATAATTTTAAAATTGACATGCATGATTTATAAAAATAAAATTTTCAATTCAACAATTAATAGTATTAAATTTTATGTAACCAACAAAAT